CATTTTTTTTTTTTTTTGAAATAGGGTCTTGCTCTGTCACCCACACTAGAGTGCAATGTCACCATTATGACTCGCTGCAGCCTCTGCCTCCCGGAGTCAGGTGATCCTCCCACCTCAGCCTCCTGAGTAGCTGGGACTACAGGTGTACACCACCATCTCCAGCTGTTTTTTGTATTTTTTGAGGAGATGGGCTTTGCCATGTTGCTCAGGCTGGTCTTGAACTCCTGGGCTCTACTGATTTGCCCAATTTGTCCTCCCAAAGTGCTGGGATTATAGGCGGGAGCCACCTTGCCTGGCCAACAGTTTTTTTGTTTGCTTTTTGGTTTTTGTGACAGAGTGTCACTCTGCTGCTGACACTGGAGCGCAGTGGCAAGATCTCTGCTCACTGCAACCTCCACCTCCCGGGTTCAAGCGATTCTCCTGCCTCAGCCTCCCAAGTGTCTGGGACTACAGGTGTGTGCCACCACATCCAGCTAATTTTTTTTCTTTTTCTTTTTTTTGGTATTTTTAGTAGAGATGGGGTTTCACCATGTTAGCCAGGCTGGTCTCGAAATCCTGACCGCAGGTGAACTGCCTGCCTTGGCCTCCCAAAATGCTGGGATTACAGGCATGAGCCACCGCACCCAGCTTGACAGTCTCATTTGGTACATTGCTCTGAGACATTGACTAAGTGTCTCGACTGAGCTAAGACTAAGCCACAAACTCGATGATATCAAACGGGACTTGGGTAGTCACAGCCCCCAAGAGCTTCCATTCAATCTAGAAGAAGCATAATGTGGACAGAAAACTAATGCATACACCAAGAAAGACAAGGGCAAAATATCATGTAGTATCGTGGTATGACGAGATAGCACCTGGGAAGACCAGCAGTGGTGTTGTGTCTGTGGGATCGCCACAGTCCAGGACAGAGTCTTCAGCTTTGGAAGGTCCATCATTTTCTTTTGCCAACTCAAGTGACTTCTTCAGGAAAGCCTTTCTTGACCTCTCAGGCTAAGTAGGCTTCTTGAGTTATATGCTCTCAGAGCAAAAAAAGCATTTGTCATAGACTGTCATATTAATCTATTTGTATAATTGTTTTATTAAAGTCTGGTTTTCCTCATTAGAATAAATCTGTATAAGGGATAGGAACCTGTTTGTTTTGTTCACCAGCATGTACTCAGCTCCTAGAATTGTTCCTGAGAAATACTTGGTACGTTATAAATATCAATTTAATGTTGAATAAGGGTACACCTGACTTAAGTTAGCCAGATTCACAATAGACCGACAAAGATATGGCAGTGTCAGATTATTTATAAATGAATTGAAATGACTTAAGGCACAGGGCTCCGTGGCTCACGCCTGGAATCCCAGCACTTTGATGGGCCATGCGGATCATGAGGTCAAGAGATAGAAATTCTGGCCAACCTGGTAAAACCCATCTCTACTAAAAATACGAAAATTAGCTCAGTGTGGTGCCATGCACCTGTAGTCCCAGCTACTTGGGAGGCTGAGGCAGGAGAATTGCTTGAACCTGGGAGGTGAAGGTTGCAGTGAGCCAACATCACACCACTGCATTCCAGCCTGGTGACAGAGTGAGACTTAGTCTCAAAAAAAAAATGGCCAGGCATGGTGGCTTATGCCTGTAATCACTTGGGAGGCCGAGGCAGGTGGATCACAAGGTCAAGAGATCGAGACCATCCTGGCCAACATGGTAAAACTCCGTCTTTACTAAAAATACAAAAATTAGCTGGTCGTGGTGGCGGGCACCTGTAGGCTGAAGCAGGAGAATTGCTTGAACCCGGGAGGTGGAGGTTGCAGTGAGCTGAGATTGCGCCATTGCACTCCAACCTGGTGACAGAGCAAGACTGTCTCAAAAAAAGAAAAGAACAGAAAAGAAAATGACCTAAAATGACTCATCAAGTTCCAGAAGTCTGAGGAGCAGCTGACTTGAGAGAACCTGACTTGAGGGTCTGGCAGAAGGTGGGAAGAACTCAGGGGGAGACACAAGTTTGAGAGCCATCAGAAAGTGGTCACCGGAGCCAGGGAAATGGGTAGAACAACCTAAAGAAGGGTTGGCTGGGCACGGTGGCTCACATCTGTAATCCCAGCACTTTGGGGGGCTGAGGCAGGTGGATCACTTGAGGTCAGGAGTTCAAGACCAACCTAGCCATAATGGTGAAACTCCATCTCTACTACCAAAAAAAAAAAAAAAAAAAAAAAATTAGCCAGGCATGCCTGAAATCCCAGCTACTCTACTAGGGAGGCTGAGGTAGAATATTCACTTAAACCTGGGAGGCAGAGGTTGCAGTGAGCTGAGATCACGCCACTGCACTCTAGCCTGGGTTATAGAGTGAGACTCCATCTCAAAAAAAAAAAAGGAGATGGCAGGAAAACATGGCCTAGGAAACACTGGGGTTGATGAAGTAGAACAAGCATAACAAAGCATAACAGGAGAGGTTGAGGTCACAGGGAACGTTAGGTTGTGGAAGCTGTGGCAGGAACACTTCCCTTGATGGAGGCCAAAGGGAACCAGAAGCCATCCACTGCAAGTCTCAACTGAGAAGGGACAGTGGGCCCTCACTGAAGAAGCTGTCACGGTGGTGTGATGGGCAGAAACCAGATTTGGGTTGGTGGGGTATGAAAGAAAGTTGAAGAAGTAAGCACAGCAAAGACTGGTTTCAGGAAATTTGGTGTTCAAATAATGAAGATTGGGTTGGGTGCAGGAATCCCAGCACTTTGGGAGGCTGAGGCCGGTGGATCACGAGGTCAGGAGATTGAGACCATCCTGGCCAAAATGGTGAAACCTCCTCTCTACTAAAAATAAAAAATGTTAGCTGGGTGTGGTGGCATGTGCCTGTAATCCCAGCTACTTGGGAGGCTGAGGCAGGAGAATTGCCTGAACCTAGGAGGCAGAGGTTACAGTGAGCCTAGATTGCACCATTACACTCCAGCCTGGGTAACAAGAGCGAAACTCCGTCTCAAAAATAAATAAATAAAAAGAAAAAAGAAAAAAAGTTAGCTGGGTGTGGTGGCATGTGCCTGTAATCCCAGCTACTTGGGAGACTGAGGCATGAGACTCACTTGAACCCAGGAGGTGGAGGTTGCAGTGAGCTGAGATTGGGCCACTGTACTCCAGCCTGACAACAGAGAGAGATTCGTCTCAAATAATAATAATAATAATAATAATAATGGAGATATACAGGTTAATAGTTGAGAAAGCAGGATTCTTTTTAATTTTACTTTACTTTTATTTTTTTGAGACAGGGTCTCACTCTGTCACCCAGGCTAAAGTGCAGGGGCACAATCACTCACTGCAGCCTTGACCTCCTAGGCTCAAGCAATCCTCCCACCTCAGCCTCCCAGGTAGCTGGGACTACAGGTGCATGTCACCACCTTCAGTTAATTTTTGTATTTTTTGTAGAGACAGGGTCTCATGATGTTGCCCAGGCTGGTCTTGAACTCCTGAGCTCAAGCAGTTCTCCTGTTTTGGCCTCCCAAAATGCTGTGATTACAAACATGTGCCACCGCGTCTAGCCTGTTTTGTTTTTAAGTAATGAACAAAACAGATAGGTAGAGAACACTTCAGGTGAGCAGGAACAAATGGAAAGAAGTGACAGAAAAAGAAGGAAGCCTTTTCACTAGAGTGTCTAGAGCTGTTGTTATCTGTAGTACTTAAGAATATTTAAATAACTAGAAAATTATGGCCAGGCTTGGTGGCTCACACCTGTAATCCCAGCACTTTGGAAGGCCAAGGTGAGTGATAGAGCCCAGGAGTTCACCCAGGGTGAAACCCCCTCTCCACAAAAAGTACAAACAATTAGCCGGGCCCGGTGGCATGTGCCTGTGGTCCCAGCTCAGGATTGGGTCAGTTAACTATACAGGTGGGAGGTTGAGATGGGAGGATCACTTGAGCCCTCAAGGTGGAGGCTGCAATGAGCTGAGATGCTGCCATTGCACTCCAGCCAGGATGACAGAGTGGGACCCTGTCTCAAAAACAAAAAAGAAAATTATATGCACAAATCCTTCATCTGAACAGGACAATTAAATGCATCTCTATGACGTCTGCGAATTCTTCTCCATGGGCATAGAGAGCAAAGAGCTGTTGCTTGTGTAGCTGTTGTTTCAACAGCCAGGAGTAAGCTTCCCTGCAATGCTCCCACCTCTGATCTCCTGATATTTTCTTTTCTTTCATTCTTTTTTTTTCTTTTTTCTTTTTTTCTTTCTTTTTTTTTTTTTTTGACAGAGTCTCTCAGTCTGTTGCCCAGACTGGAGTGCGGTGGCACAATCTCAGGTCACTGCAATCACTGCAACCTTCATCTCCCTGGTTCAAGTGATTCTCCTACTTCAGCCCCCTCGAATAGCTGGGATTACAAGCGTGCACCACCATGCCTGGCTAATTTATGTATTTTTAGTAGTAATGGAATTTCACCATGTTGTCCAGGCTGGTCTCGAAGTCCTGACCTCAGCATCCCAAAGTGCTGGGATTACAGGTGTGAGCCACCGTCCCCGACCAATTTGCTTTTTCTTTCTTTTCCTTTTTTTTTTTTTTTTTTTTTTTTTTTTTTTTTTTTTGTTGTTGTTGAGACAGAGTCTCCCTCTGTCGCCCAGGCTGGAGTGCAGTGGCACAATCTTGGCTCACTGCAACCTCCACCTCCAGGGTTCAAGCGATTCTCCTGCCTTAGCCTCCTGAGTAGCTGGGATTACAGACGTGCCCACGCCCAGCTAATTTTTGTATTTTTATTTTATTATATTATTATTATTATTTGAGACGGAGTTTTGCTCTTATCGCTCAGGCTGGAGTGCAATGGCGTGATCTCGGCTCACTGCAACCTCCACCTGCCAGGTTCAAGCGATTCTCCTGCCTCAGCCTCCCAGAGGGCTGCGATTATAGACGTGAGCCACCGCGCTCGGCCCATTTTCTTAATCTTACTACAAAAAGGGCTCAGCTTCCCTTCTTATGTTCCTCTCATCTCACCCTCTAGCCTGTAGCTAACTGGCCCACTCCTGAGCTCCCTCTGTACCTTCCATGTGATTCTTTTGCTGCAGCGGTCACCCTGTGAGGTTTCTTGACTGCCTTCCCCAGCCTTGGTCTCAGGCTTCTCCAATTCCTTGAGCTCAGGGCTAGGCACGGGTAAGTCGGTCCTTAACAGTCCAAGGCCAGTGGTCATTCTTGTATGCTTCACTGCCTCGTCTTGCGACTTTGTTGTTTTCTTGTCTCTTCTCTTTTTCTGTCCACTGTACCCGATGCCCTGGAAATCAGAATCTTAACTCTGAAAGGGCCGGAGGAGTGGGGCGGGCGGGATAGCAAGTGGAGGGACCAAGAGGAAGCGGGAGCCGGCGGCTTCCGGGAATGGCCGGCAGAGGGCGACCCGGGACCGGGAGAGGCGACTCTGCGGCTGCTGCCGGCCGCGGGCTGGGAAGGAGATGCGGAGGACGCAAAGCTGGGGAAGTGCACGTGGGGCGGGCCGAGCAGCGCCTGGGGGCACGTGTGCTGTCCCGGGGCGCGCTGTCCTGGCTAAAAATACGCGCACCCACGTCCTCCCTGGTGGTGGAGGTGGCCCTAGGGAGGAGATACTGCTGGAGCCTCGTTTTTCTGGGAGGAACATTTCAGCTTCCAGGTAGGACTTCCCAGGCTCCTGAGAAACCTGATGCAAGCTTCGCACCGCGCCTCAGCCCTCTTATCTGTGTAATGGGGGCTTTTAATGTATTCGATAAATATTGAGCGTGTACGTCGTACCAGGCACTGCTGCAGGGGTCTGGTGTAATTACAAGGCTCTTACTGCTGTGGAGTTTACAGCCTACTGTGCGTGGGGAAGTAAAATAACAAATGGTCAGGATCATGTCATATTTTCAAAAATGCCATTAGAAAAATAAGGAATGGTGTGATCGGGAAGAGTGGTATGTAAGCTGCTACTTGAAAAGGGCCACCCTGAGACACGAAGGCGGAAGAAACTGCATGTGCAAAAGGCCTCGAGTCCACCGAAGCCTGACACCTGGCTGGAGACCACAGTCCCCAGCAGGTAGACATCAGAGGTGCAGCGGTCAGCATGGGCCACATGAGTAGACACATTGATCAAAACAAAGCCGGAGGCAGTGGCTCACGCCTATCATCCCAGAACTTTGGGAGGCCGAGGTGGACGGATTACCAGAGGTCAGGAGCTCGAGACCAGCCTGGCCAATATGGTGAAACCCTGTCTTTACTAAAAATACAAAAATTAGCTGGGCTGTGGTGGTGCACGCTTGTAATCCCAGCTCCTCAGGAGGCTGAGGAGGGAGAATCGCTTGAACCCGGGAGGAGGAGGCTGCAGTGAGCCACGATCGCACCACTGCACTCCAGCCTGGGCAACAGAGGGAGACCCTGTGTCAAAACACAAACACACAAACCGACAAACATAAAACCAACTCAGCGAAGAGCTGCACATTGTATTACTTGTAAACTTTGATTCCAATACAAGCATATGTAGGGGCAGGCCGGGGGCAGTGGCTCAAGGCAGGAGAATCGCTTGAACCTGGGAGGCAGAGGTTTCAGTGAGCCGAGATCGCGCCACTGCACTGCACCCTGGGCGACAGAGCGATACCCTGTCTCAAAAAAATAGAAAAGTAAGGGTTCCCCGTTTGTGGGAGCAAGTGTGAGCCGGGAAAGCGGTTCTGCGGCGCTTTCCAGCCTATCCCGCGGGCGGATACCGCAGCCCCAGGTGTGCTGCGCCGCCCTGTGGGGAGACGGTGGCAAGGGCGGTGGTGGCCGGAAGGCGTCTGCACCTGGCAGCCTACGGGCAAGGTCGGTCTCGAGGGTGCAAGCGAGCGGTGCTGCTCTCTACAGAACCGAGGCTGGAGACTCCTGCCCTTCGCTCGAGTCGTTAGGGGTAACCTCAGTGCTGCGGCCCCAGCCCCGCCCGTCGCGCTAAGGCCAGGTGGCGGTTGGGGCGCCACCGGCCCGTTTGATTTCCCGCGGCCGGTGGAAAGGGGCGGAGGGGGGAGGGGAAAGGGGCCGCCGGCCAATGGGTTGGGCCGGGAGCGGTCACGTGGCGGCCCAGAGGCGGGGCCCAGGTGTACTTACCGAGCAGCGGGCGGGGGCCGGGACCGGGGTGCGAAGTCCGGAAGGCGGGGCCAGCGTGCGGGCCAGGGGGCCTCCGGGCTGGGATTGGCCCGTGACTGGGAGGCGGGGTCTGCGCGCGCGGCAGCGGTGGGCTGCGATTGGCCTCGGCTCCGGGCCCGCTGCCGGTGTGCTGGCGAGGCTTGGGGCGCGAGGACCGAGCGGGGCGGCGGGTTCGCGAGCCGGGGGGAAGGGCTGGGGCGGTGGCGGTGGCGGTGGTGGCGGCGGCTGGTACTGGACCCGGCGGGATGAGCGAGGTGGACGCGGCAGCGGTGGCGACAGCGGCCCCCGCTGCGACGGTGCCCGCGACGGCGGCAGGGGTGGTAGCGGTGGTAGTACCGGTGCCCGCGGGGGAGCCGCAGAAAGCAGGCGGCGGGGCCGGCGGCGGCGGCAGCGGCGGCGGCGGGGGCGGAGCCGCCTCGGGCCCCGCTGCTGGGACCCCCTCGGCGCCGGGCCCCCGCACCCCTGGCAACCCGGCGACCGCGGCCTCGGGAACCCCCACGCCCCCGGCACGGAGTCAGGCGGACAAGCCGGTGCTGGGTGAGGGGGGGCGCTCATGGGGCGGCTCTGAGCAGTCGGCGGGCTGGGGGAAGGGCAGTGTGGAGCCCGGCGGGATCCGGAAAACCAAAGGCGGTCTGGCCAGGAAGCCCAGAGCGCTAACTGGGCTGGGAGCTGCGCACCCAATAAAGTGGATTCCCCTGGTGGGAAATCCTGCAGTGCTTTCCTGGGCGGGAGGGCGGGGCCGGCAGGTTTAGCTAAAGCTGTGGAGTGGAGAATAAACCCCCAGGGCCCGGCCACGCCTCCGGGCGGGACACAGTGCCTGGTTGACTCGGTTAGAACTAGGTAAACCTCTGAGCCCAGCCAGCAGGTGCCCTGGGGACTCTTGCGTTGGGAGGGGTAGAAAAACCCTCAGTTATGGCCTGGGGCAGCACTTTGCAGACCAGGTGAGTACCCAGTTCTGAGTGAAGGGCCTGGATTTGTAGGATGTGGGGAACGTGCCTTAAGAGTTGGAAGGCTTTTTGAAAGCCTAAGTCCCCTTTGTGGGTGAGTCCATTTGGTGGAATAGAGTAAGAATACCTTGAAGCTGCTGGTGAAACCTGGTTGGCTCGAAGGTAACCTTAATAGTAGTTTGGAGCTTAATTGCAATAGTTGTGGCTATTTGGAGCAGCAATAAGGCAGTAGGCTAGATTTTTTTTTTTTTTTTTTTGGAGTGTCTCAAAACTGAGTCCAACTGCATCTCTTCCCCCGTCTTACTGTCCCCACTGCATCTCTGCCTGGCAGCAATCCGAGTCCTGGGCACTGTCAAATGGTTCAACGTCCGGAATGGTTACGGATTCATCAACAGGTATCCAAGGAACCCGGGGAGGGGGGGTGGAATGGGTGTCTTCCAAACTGGCCTGTGGGACTGGACACCTGCCCAAGCTCATCTCCACCCCTGCAATGTTGCACATGGTTGCAAAGGAGGCACATGGTTGCAATGTCCAGCTGATGCTGGTTGAAAGTCTTTAACCGCAGCACAAATGTGCGCTTAGTGACAAGAGGAAGCCTCCTCCACATCTTCAAGGGCAGCAGAGGATTAATGATTCAGGAACTTGGCAAACCTGGCTCTGACCCTGCCAGCTTCTCGTCTCACCTTCTGGAATTGCTTCATTACTTTCACTCTGACATGCCTTTGGGGCACAACGTATTGCAGGGTTCTCTGCCTCAGGGCTCCCTGCTGGAATCCTCACTGATTTCCTGTTATGGCAGCACTCACAACTTATCTCCGTTAAAGAGCTGTGGCTCATTTGAGCCCCCCACCTGTTGGGACTGAGGCTGACTGGGGGGCAGAAGGAGCCCGAGGCTGCTACTCTTCTTCAGAAGGCAGCCCTGCCCCTCAGCACTGGGAGAGGCTGTGGCAGTGGATTCTGGGCAGAGCCAGGTCCCGGCCGGCCAGTGGGCCCTTCCCCAGCCTAGGCATCCTGCCCAGCCCGGCCCTCCTGGGAGGCCCCAGTTCCCTCTTAGCAGGCTAACCCTTGTGCAGATCCAAGTGCTTTACAGCTAAAATGTTTGTTCTGGGGAAGGGTCCCCGTCTAATTCTGGAAACGGCAGACTGGGTGCAGGGCAAAGTGCCTCCAGGAAAACTTTTCCTTTCTCCCCTCCCCCCACCGACTGGGGTGCTTGTGATAGAGACTGGGTGAATGTTTTCTTCTCTTTCACCCTTAGTCCCACGTGTGCGGAATGTGGGCCTGACCCTGGGGTTCACCTCCAGGCTGAGGATGAGAATAAAGTTTTGTGGCTGTTTGGAGCAAGTTCCTGACACTTTGTTCCCTTCTCCAACTTCTGCACCTCTGGCTCCATCTGCACTTTCTGCCTCCTTGACTATAGAAAGAAGAAGACAAATTTTCCAACCCCAATGGGGGTTGGGGGAGGGGGATTGGCTAGGGTCAGTTGTACCCAGCGCTGGCAGGTTGTAAGGCTCGCCTGGGGTGGAAGTGTGGCTCAAGCTGCCTTTGCCTCCCCAGCTTGCCCTTTCCTCGTGAAGTCCAGGTGTGGCACTGAGGTTTTAGGTGTATTTCCCTTTACATCAGCTTCTGGGGTCCTCCTGGCTCTTTCTCCCTCACCTCGGGCCCTGAATACCCCTAACTGGAATGCTGGCAAGGATGGACCCACTGAACTTAAGACAGGGCAGCTAAGGGGGCCTCAGTGAGGAGCTGAGGGCTTTGTTCAAGTCCCCTCCTTAACGACCCGTCCTGTTCTGCAGGAATGACACCAAGGAAGATGTCTTTGTTCACCAGGTAAGTGCTAGGTCGGCTTTCTGAGGGGAAGAACCGGCCCTCTTTGAAGGCCTTGGTCGTAGTCCTTAGCAGTGCCCTCCGTCGTGTTTCTCTGGCTCTTACTTCTTCACAGCGGTGCCCCTGCCAGGGAATAGCTCCCCCATCTGCCTCAGGTGCCTGTGTCAACCACCATTAGCTGCACTTGTGTGGGGTTATTAAACGTCTGTCAGAGTTGAGCATGCTGCCCCTGGGTGTGGCGTGCTCACTACCTCCTGGGACCTGTTAACACTCCAGGAAGCACTGAGGCAGTTTTCAGAGGGAGAAGGTACTTGGGTGCAGTGGTTCTCAAAGCGTGGCCCCCGCACCAGCAGCAGCAGCAGCAGCAGCAGCAGCAGCAGCATCACCTGACATCCAAATTCTCAGGTCCCAGCCCAGACCTGGTGAATCAGAGCTGGGGCTGGGGCTGTGGAGTCTGTTTAATGAGCTCTCCAGGTGATTCTGATGCACGCTACAGCTTGAGAACCACTGCTTGGTGGAAAGAGCTCTCAGTGGGACCGAGGTAAGAAGCACAGTGCATTTTACCCACTTTGCAACTGAAGACTATCCCTGCCTTTTGCTTTGCTTTGCTTTGGAGTTCATGTTTCTCGCCTTCCTTTTTGAAATCCCTGAGGGGGAAAGGGGGAGGGTGTGTCCTGGGGACAGTGGTTAACTGCACAATCGTTGCTGAGGCCCCTAGTGTGTGACTTTTCCCATACTAAACTTTGACCACCTCCTTGCTCCACCCTCCAGCTCTAGACCCCAAGTCAGATGTGGAAAGAATGAGATTGGGTGGTGGACCCAGCAGGGGGTGACAGAGACTCTGGTCTTGCTGGCTCACCTTTCTCCTGGTCTTTCCCCCAATCAGACAGCTATTAAAAGAAACAACCCCAGGAAGTTTCTGCGCAGCGTTGGAGATGGGGAGACTGTGGAATTTGATGTCGTGGAAGGAGAGAAGGTTTGGGGACGGCTATGGGGTATAGAGTTGACCAGGCTTATGGGAGGGTGGCCTGGATGGCAGGGTAGACACTCCTGGGCCCAGCTCTGCCCCATTCTGTGGAATTGGATCTGTGTTCTCTCCCCCTAATGTCCTCTTTCTTAACACTAGGGCTAAGGGATGTCCTAAATATGTCCCTGTCATGTCGGCAGTGTCTGGGTTTCTTCTCTGTAGTTCACCAAGCACTTCCACATCTGTTCTCCACATGGGGCCCTGTCCTCAGACTTCCTGAGTCTGCCTCTGGAGTAAAAGGTGGATGGTGGCTGCCAGGCCTTTCTCCACTCAGGAGGGTGCAGTAGCAATTATTTCAAAAGAACAGGTTGCTTCTTCCTAGGTGGATGTACATGCACTCCACTGCCCCTCCAGGGAGGGTAGAAAGAAGTTAGAGGAGCTGAAGGAAAGCTGGAGAGGGGCCTTCCCCTGGAAGAAGGGGAAGCAGGTTGGGAGTGTGCGCCCGCTGAAGTGGGTTCTGACTGTTCACTCACCACCTTCCCAGGGTGCAGAAGCCGCGAATGTAACTGGGCCTGGGGGGGTGCCTGTGAAGGGCAGCCGTTATGCCCCCAACCGACGTAGGTTTCGCCGATTCATCCCTCGGCCGCGCCCAGCTGCCCCACCACCCAGGGTTGCAGAGGTTCCCTCAGTGGGGACAGAACCTGGCAGCGAAGGGGAGCAGGCTGAAGACTCTGGGCAGCGGCCCAGACGACGGCGCCCACCACCCTTCTACCGAAGGCGGTTCGTGCGAGGCCCTCGGCCCCTTAACCAGCAGCAGCCTATAGAGGTGAGGGGAAGCTGGAGTATGGGAACCAGTTCCCCAAGTTCAGGAGAGGAGTGGGAGTTAGGATAGAGACCATGGGACCCCAAAGAAGGAGAAACTAAGGGTTGGGCAGAGCTGTGGAAAACCTGGTTCCGGGTCAGCTGCTGTCCCCACAGCTCACCAGGGCCTTTGCCTATTCCAAGGGCACTGATGAGGTAGAACCCAAAGAGACAGCTCCACTGGAGGGGCACCAACACCAGGGAGATGAGC